AGGCTCTTTCCAATTATTATTCAATATTCGCTGGGGACTAAAATAACCCTTTAATAATCCTCCTCCTATTTGAATGTGATAAGCCTAGACAAGCAGGAACGTATCACTTTAATTGCTTCTGGTTGTGTGTGTGATCCTCATTCTTTCAAGAAAAGGAATTTTTTTTTTCATATAACCAATTACGCAAGGTTTGCCCAGGAAAAGGTGAGGAATGAGGAAAGCACGTAGGAAGTCACCGTAACCTAGTGGATGTGTATTCAATCGGTAAGTGTTATACCTTTACTGAGTGAACCCTCACTATAACTATGAGCAGATATGCTCACGCTGAGATTCGAATCCACGAGAGGTCTTGCTAGTCGCGACACATTTGTGCTCCAATATGTGGCTACAATCAAAAGCTTCAAAATTTTCTTGCTTTTGATGGGACCTTATTAAGTTTGTTAACCTGTCCTATGAATTGTGTCCTCTATGATCCAAGGAAGATGCGTCTCACCGGGCTTTGTTTTCATTGAGTGTACTCTTATGCTTTGCCCGCTTTCTTATTGTCCGATATATTCGCTGTTCCTGTCACATTTTAAGAATGTTTGTCAATTCGGCTGTTGGGAGCAAACGCCATAAATCTTTGTTGCCTGAACTTTTTCCACACTCAGAAAGCACTTTGTTGAAATTTTACTTGAAACTCTTCTCGTTTCAGAAATCCTATGTAGATTGGATAATCGGTCCTACGAATTGCCTGTAGCCAATTAAAATATGAATTTCTCTATGCTTTGCTTGGGCTTATTGCCAAATTAAAGCACATAGTTGAGCAACATTACCGGCGAATGCTGACGCTTTAACGATTCCTAGCTGCTATTTGTTCGCTACTTAAAAACACAATTAAGCTGACTAGAAAGAAAGTTTTGTCGATCATTACAAGTCAATGCGAATAACTTTTAAAAATATGTTATTCGATAATTTGTTGCACTCTTAAACCACTCTTTGGCAAAGAGAATTTCCAAAAATATCAGGTTGATTGTTCGGACAAAGCGAAACGTAATGCTCACATGATAAAGAATTATAGATATATCCTTGCCAGTAGTTTCGATTTCAATGGTAATCAGGCGTACTTTCTATGCAAACTACTTGATAAAACTGGAGCTCCATTATTGCCTACGTTCACCTAGTCCTTTAAGTTCGTAGAATGACATATGGATATCGCCACTATTAAAGAATCCGTACGGAAAATCGGAATTCCGTGCGTAACGTGTCACACTGAAACAAGTCTAAGCTAGTGATCGGAATGTCATGACATTTTGACATAATTTCGCCCGAAAACTGGTGCAAGCTAAAAACTATATGAATATGTCAATGGCCAATAAATGTGTATGACATCCTACGAACTTATTGAGTGATCTTTTATATATTCATACTGAAGACTATCTCGGTTTTTAAACGACCTGTCTCATTTTCAGATGTATTCTAAAACTCTGTACAAGCGAACAGTCGCATATTAGCTCAATGCCCTTGGCAAAGCTTGGGGAAGGTTATGGGTGGCTAGAATAAAATTGATCGACCCTTGTGTATTCACTACTGCTAAGAAACTGTATGTTATTGCTATTCTCGTATGTTAAGGCAAGGATATCTTAAAGGGCCCCGCGTCATGCTGTGAGTATGTAATCCTTTTGGGTTAGCTTTTTTTCTACGGAAAAAAGTTTCTCGTTTTTTTAAATTCCGCAACAATTGCTTACGTTAACTTAGCATGTGAAACTCTCACATCCATATTCCTCTACGTCAATAAAAAAACATTTTTTAATCGAAAAAAGCATTTTTTTAAATAACAACTGATATGAACAAATATGTCGCTCGAAGCCCAGTATATATACATATTTTTACATTCTTCTATTGTAGTGTTTTCCATAATTACATGTAAGAGGAATTCTTATGCTCCTATGTAAATGTTTGGAAACGGTTGTAAAACGGTTTTTCTCATTTATTTTTATTTTTTCATTAACTTTATTATATGCTTTTACAAATACTATGCTTTCTGGTCTAATAAAATGCCTGCTTTTCTATATTCTGTATTTGCTTTTCATTTCCAGGGAGTAATAAAAATGACGTCAAACTTGAAAGTTTCAAATAAAGCAAAATTTCCATGCATCTGTGCAATTGCGTTCCGCCTCCAAAAGTTTAGCTCCTACAATATTCTTTATTAATGTTTATCTGCATATGCGTGTGTTTTTATGTCTATGCGTCTATCTGTATGTTGTGTTGTCTATATTTAAACCCTAGAGTGAAATTTATTTTTGTAATAACTTTTCAACAAGCTTGAAAAATGAAATAAAAATAAATAAATGAAAAATCTTCAAACAAAAAAAAAAAAAAAGAAAAAAGAGGAAGAAAAAATGACACATACGCACACATAAGGATATATTTATATATGTTTGCGTCTGGACAACGTGTACATATGTTAAGAAAGTTGGTCCTCACTGAAGTAAGCTTGCGTGTGTATGGGTGTCCATAAGATGTTAATGGCTTTCGTTCCATTATCGTTCATCGTTCATCATGCGTGGAGATATTTTAAAAAGTTGGAGAGTCTCTGCCGTTGTTCTTACCCAACTTCGTCGTATCTCTAGCTACCCAAACGAAATTCGTTCCTCGACTCCTATTGAACAATTTCGCCTTAAATATTATCATATTTTCGGTTTTATTATTATTATTACTGTTTTTGTTGACGTTGTTTTTGTTGCTATTATTGTTGTTGGTGATTTTTCTATTCTGTGCGGTAGCCATATATCATAGTTAGAAAAAGTCATTAATTATAAGAAGCTTAGTTATTCCCCTCCTGCTTTTTGCCCTTTTTTTCAAAAAATTATTTTTATTCCCTTTTTTCATTATGAATGCAAAAATGCCATAGCAGACAGATAAAGATATATTCTACCATACATACATACATATACATACATATAAATACACTCAGGCAGACTGATCCATACATATGTACATATTTGTGCACATATATGTTCAAATGAACTAATATTTCATAGAAAAAGTTTCGATACTATTATTATACAAAAAGTTTATTTTCATTTATTTTTGTGTATTTTTCGGCTCCTTTCAAGATATTTAAAAAAAAACAAACAAAAGCAAAAAGCACCGAAATACATTAAATTACTCAACCATACAAAAGGCATAAAGCAAATCATTATAAATAATTCAACATTAAAGCATTTAAACGTAGCGTAATGAGAAGTTTTTATTAGAATTTCTGCTTTTACCAAAGTCACTGTGAAAAAAGTTCCAGGGATCGAATTATTTTGTTTCCTCTTTTCTTTCAATTGACTCTTGTTCCATTTTTACCGACCTCCTTAAAACCGAACACAATTTAAAGACGGAAAGTTGCGCCAACATTTAAGCCAAGCATATAAACATAATTTAAAGTATTCCGTGGGCTTATACCGGAGAATATGCTGATTATTATTGAACGACATTTGTCGATAGGAAATCAAGAGAATTTGGCAAGCTAAGCATTGAAATTGTTATGGACGGGTTTTTGTGGCAAGTGAGTAATGTAAGCGAACGCTGATAAGCTTTAATGATAACATTTCAAGATCTTTGCTTTAGTTTTTTGCATCTCTTTTTCAATGAATAGGGTTGATAGAGGACCCGTGTACGAGCAATACGACTCTGCTTCTAAGCATCTTACCAGCCACGTTTACGTTCACGCTTAGCCATAGAAAGTTGCGTTATACAATCTTATAATCTTAACAAACTGAAAACCAATAAAGTTTGGCATGATTTTCTAAGAGGTTTATACAGATATCCGGCATTACTTCACAGTAAATATGAATGAAGAAGGAATTTGAACAATTTTGGCTTTCATATTACGAAGAAAGTAAAGTCAGGCAAAACAATTTTTGTACGAAAACATTTTAGCTGAAAAAGTTTCCATAAAGAACAATCTAGTAGTGCCTGTGGAACTTTTTTCTTTTCATTAAGCAATTCGCGTTATTCGTTTTGCAGATTGTTTTATAAAACACAAAATGAGAGCTTATTGCTTAGCAAGCATATAAAGTCAGGCATAACCGAAAAAGTATTTTTTGGACTCTTATTTCAAAAAGCGTACAAATTCTAGTAGTACCGGGAAAGCTTTTATTTTTTGGCTAAACGATAACCGGCATTATTTTCATAGGATACTTTCTGAAAAAGGTGCAATGAAGGAACCCTTTCCCATTGTTTGGCAAGAACTAAAAATTAACTGTAAGCAATAAAACTTTCCCGGTACTTTTCGGATCAATCACATTAAAAAAAAAAGAACTGAAACCAAAACTTCTGCTTTCATTTCAAAAAGAAAAGTTTGCAATAAAGATGAAATACGACTTGATAATGAAACGTTATAATGTGAATGCAGTGAAGAACCAGAGAACCAGAGAACCAGAGAACTTAACAAAAACACAATATGGATACGAGTACTACTATTACTACCTATTACCCTTCGCTACGAGCACACCATCTGCCTCATTTGAGCTTGTGTAACGTCCATCCTCGGTCATCGCAATAAATAATTCATTGAAATTTTTACAATTTTCTGAGAAATTCGTCTTTTCGTTGTTGCCCTCATATCGAAATGGCTGACTGACATATAAAACGTTTATATACGTAATGCGAAGAGTGCAAGTGGCTGAAGCTTTGCTGCTGCTTCTCTCTTACAATGATTAACTTGTATGTGAAGGTTATTTTTTAGGTTGTCTTTTACGTCATTGACATTGTGTGTCACTATCATCATATCCGAGTTTTCAGATGGCCCTTTCACACACATACTAACATAAGTAATAATGTTCATCCTCTATTGCAGAGGCTATCAAGTGCTGAGGAATCATTATTTTTGTATGATTTTTTCAATTTCAATCAACACAATTTGAACTTAATGTAAGACTGATTAAAGCGATATATTTACGAAGTATTTCAAAATAATTTCAAGAAGCATTTTTAATATTTTTAAATTGTGAAGAATGCAAGCTTACCTTCAACTCCCTCCAACGAGATGATTATAATCCATAGTAAAAATCCTGACGATAATCCACATTTTAAGATATTGTCGCGCATATTTTTCATTGGCCGCCTTAACTCTTGACAATATTGTTGATGCTGATGACGACGTTCAAAGCAGCCTCTTAAGTAGTTGCTGCTTATATCCATCCTAAGCATATTTATAACATTTTCTTTAAACATTCACGTACACGCTTACACTAAAAAGTACGTATCGCAAGCGTACGGATGGCGTACATAAAACTCTTTTCAACAAAGTATCCAATGCAGTCGCCTTTAAACACGAACAAAAAAGCACAACAATTGCATAACTATGCTATGATTGTTGGTGTTGTTGATGACAACAATATTGTTTTTGTTGTTCTTTCAGTTTCTATACAATTTACAGAATTTGCTTTTATTACACATTTTTATCACAATCTCAAGTGAATTCTGTTATACGTTCCTTTTGGCTTGCTTCTGTATGTTCGTTGAATCTTTTGGTTGTTATACTTATGCTTTAGTAAAAGTATTAGGAAACTATGACAAGAGATGCGGCAAGAATGTCAAGCACAAAAATGTCTAGAGGTAGTTCTAGAGTACAACAGGAAACATAACCTTGCACTTGATCCTGAACATCCTTAGAGAGAAACATAAAGACAACAACGACAATTGCGACGGCATCAACATCGGCAACATAAACAGCAGCGGCAGCAACAGTAGCAATAACGACCAGAAAACAGACGTGTCGCACACGTACACCGAACACGAAATTCTCGTACGAACGAACGCATTCAAACGATGTTATTACGTTTTACGGAAAAACGAATATAAAGAGAACTACCGTTCGCAGCACTTTTGGCTCTTAAACATTTAAGCACTTACATATATCACACACACACACACACACACACACACACATAGACACACATATAGACAAACATACGCACACAGATACGAAAAACGGACATTCACCATGAAATGCTTAACTTGAAGTTTTTATGAGCGTTTTGCTGCTTTCAAAGCAATTTATCACTTTTTATGGCCCAAAAACCCAGCGCAACTCCTAGAATTACACATTTATTTAGTGTTACTGCTGCATGTCTGCTTATGCTTCTGTTTTTTCGGTTCTAATTCTCGTTCGCTCTGGTTCTTTGGTCTTTGGGTCTCGTTCTTTTTCAGTGTTTATATTTTGTTTGCCAACTTGTTCTATTTGTTCACTTGATTATTTTATACACCAAACATTTATATTTAGTGTGTTGTTGCATTTGTTGATAAATATCGTCACGTTGACGTTGTGAAGCTTAGAACCAGTACGTGGTTTCAATTTTAAATGCCATGCGTCTATATTAAGCGCCGCTACGAAAACGCTGCAAGTAGAAAAGTGCAAAAAAAAATAAGGAATATAAATTAATTTTAAAATTTCATTACATTCAACAATAACAACGCCAATGTAAAAGGAAAAGAAAATGAATTCATCAAAAGTTACATATTACCGGAAATTGCATAAAATATTTAAAAACTCGCTTTTAGGCTTTGCAAAATATATTAATTTTTTGCAGCATACTTTCCGAGGCGGATTTTGTACATCAACAAAAATTAATTTAGTGCATTAAAAGACCGAATAATTCACGCATACGCCTCGATCATGTTTTTCGTATGTGAATAAAATTAAACAAAAATAACTATTGTCGTTGTTGGTGTTTATGTTGCGGTTGGTTTCATTACAGTGTTATCGGACCTTATATTAAGGTACATTAAAACCCAAATGTTTAATAAATATACATGCATAATACATGATTAAGCATGTCCATATATTTAACGATAATAGTTTATGTAAATTTACCTTACAAATACCGTAAAATGTTAAGGTAACGTAAACGTAAAATTACTTAATTTGTATATTTTACGAAGAGTATGAAATAAACATAAAAAGGTTATAGAGTTCACTGCTAGAAATCATTGCTATTTAGAAGAATGCTGCTTCATTCCTGTCTTTAAAAATAGGCGATGTAAATTTTTCATAAACATGCATCTAAAAGTAGGCAAGGAAAAATTTCTCTTTGCAACAGTTAAGTACTAGATTAAAAGGTGAAAGTAATGAATGAATGAATTTTCAAAAGCTGTTTTTTAAAAAGAAAAAAGATATGCAACATTTTCGGTTCTATCGTGCACTGAAACGTAGGCAGTAAAAGTTTTTGTTTATTTTGAAAGCTAACCACAAAAATTTCTTTAAAATAGGTGTTAAGATATATGACATTAAATACCTAGCGATAAGCGAATATTTTACCTATGGCCGGAGTTTACGTTTAGATAGGGGTATTCTCAACAATTATAAATGAATAAAAAAAAAAAAAAAATGAAGATCTGCGCGGTGCTCGTTCAACTGTTTTTGGCTGCAGATTTGACATGACCTCGCAGTAGCGAAAGCTCATATAGCCTAAGTGAACGTAATTAAAAAACTCAAAATATATTGACCTTCAACACTGATATTTCCGCACGTAGCAGTATATTCCAAATACGGTGCCGCAAGTTAGCATAAAAGTGAAGCATTGTAACTACTATGATCTTTCAGTTTGTTTTCTTTTTTTGCTAAGGGATAGTAAGCCGTAATTCCGTTTTAGTGTTTATTAATCCCTTTTAATTAAATTAGGTTTGAACGTATATGGTCCTCCAGATCCATTCGCGAATTGCCTTTCTTGTCTTAAACACTTACGTCAGTATTAAACAGTGTACAAGTTCATTCTGCTTCCAGCGGCTACGATTTTTCTCCATAGAAAAGATATGAAGAGTGTCGGGTGATGTCTGCTTGACGGCAGTCAGCTACTGTGGGTACTATTTCAACAGGCCTATGCAAATTCTTATGAACCAGCGAAGGAGTTGCATAATAGAAAGCGCAGCATTTTTGTGCCTATATTTCTCCTTGAAAAATTGAAAATCTGCAGGAAAATGTAAGAGTGGTTTTAAGCTGGGCAAAATATGTCCGAAATCTAGGGAAGCAATAGAGTCAAGTAGACAAAGGAAAATAGATCAATTGCTTGTAAAATATCTCCTTCCTGACTGCTTTGCTCACTTTCTTATGGTGGCTTTCTAGGAGTACTAGGACGTCCTAATTAGTAGGAATTGTCCTGTTCTCCCAAAGGTTATCGCTTTATATTTAATCTATGTCAGCGGGCATTTTAGAAATAAAATGTTTCTATTATATACTTTCATGTAAAATTAACACAGACAGTTGGTGTTGCCGTCTTTTCTATCAGTAACCAAAATGAGGTCAGATCAACCTTAGCTTGGATTATTGCCGCTGCTTTTGGGCCACATGTGAAGTTTTAATCATAAATGATTTAGCAAAGCACAGCAAGAACAGAAAACCACATTTGTTGAGTTTTCAAGTTCATAAAAGTATAACTTAGTTAATAGTTTTTACTTTGTTAACTAGGGGCAAACATCAAGGGGTGTGAACGTTGAAACGTTAAACGTTTGCAGCAACGGGTTTCTTCTTACTTGCCAAGATTATCTCTCAATCTTTTTCGCTATAATGCACATTTTGTTTTTGTTTTATTAAAATCTCTGGTGGTTCGACGATAGCAACCTTTCCTTGACCTTCGCTTTATTTGTTTATTTTAATGTTTCGATCGCTCAAGGAAAGTATATATGTTGTGCCTTTACCGACTGGGCACTCACTATCGCTACAATCAAGCGTGCTCTACCGTGCTGTGATTTGAATCCGCAGACACTGATTTGTCACGGTCACGGTCATTTTAAATTTTTCTCCGCAACGCTATTCAATGGAAACCTGTAACTGCAGCAGTTCCTAAATATTATTATTATTGTTATGAGCTATCGATTTTATTGAAAACACTACCGCAGTTAAAATTTTGACACGGAGCCATTGAGTTGTTAGTCGAGACCCTTTGCCTGGCCGACCATTCACGCGGATAGCTCGCAAATAATACAAATATTACGAGCTTAAACAAAAATTAATTGTAATTCCTAAAAAGTTGTATTACAATTGAATTTCTCCGAGTTAAGAATTGAGATAACAATAATAAGCTGTACAAGCTCGTTAAATTTAATATCCGATGCACGAACATTTTCAATAAAAGCCTGCAGTAAGTACTATTAGTTTAAATTTGAAACCATTTTTATAAGTGATCAAAGGTTTCGAAGCATCTTAAGGAGCTCCTTCCTGCTCTCTCATATGCCATTATGGATAGATTTGTAATTGATGTATAATATTCGTTGTCACAATCAGGGCCGTTTAAAGCCGCACTTACAATAGAACGGAAGATCGGTCCTAAAGTACAAATATCGAAAGTACTCTAGTTTGACTGCTACCAGGTATTTTCACTGTATGTAATTATTACTTTAAATTACAATTTAAAAAATTTATTATAATGATTTCATTTTATTTGTTAGTGAAATTTGTCAACAACAGCATTCGACGTGTCGTACTTTATCGTAATCAGCTTAATATCTTGCCTATGGACATGCCAACATAATTGCAAAAAAAACAAAAAAAATTATTTCATTGATTTTTTTTTTTTTTTTTATATAGCAAATCGGGTTTAAATGAAAGATCCACTATATATATATTACGCAGAGGAGCAAAATATCGGCAGATGTTGTCCCTTATTTTTTCTCTTCATTCCAGGTAGTGTTTCCTAAAACTTATTACATGTTTCGCAAATGGCTGCGTGACTGACTGACTGGCTATCTTAATAAACTTGATTTATGTTCATTATAAAACAAGAATATAATTTTACGAGAATTTATTGAAATATTATGCAAATGCACTTTTACACATATGTGTTATATATGTGCTTGCGTATATGTGCACATATCGAGAAGACGAGTTTATTTGTATATATGTTCCTCCTTTTCTCCTTTTTTTAAAATATTTTTTGGTTTTTCCGCTTATTAAGTAACCAATTTCCTGTTCAAATTCGCTTTAGGAAGAAATGTATATACAAAGTACTACTATTACTAAACTCTTTTATGTTATTTGCAAAAATAAACACAAATGCACCTACAAATATGCCATACACCTATAAAATAAACTATAAATATATTAAAGAAATCTACTTTAGCTCCAAGTCTGGTGAATTATATTTGCTTTGTGTTCTTCATAGCTGATGTTATATGTACATTATAAACGTTGCGTTGGTATGGTGTTGTTGCGGTTGTTTCCCACCTCAAATTGTGCGTATTTCCTCGCAAATTTTTTATTACAATCAAATGACGGATGTTACTGAAGCTGCCAGCAGTTGGTTTTTTCATTGCGCTAGGGTGTAATGCCGAACACCAATGGTTTGCATTAGATTAACACAGGTAAAGTTTCGCTATTTACGAGATATTTTCTTCTTTTTTTTGTTGTTGTAACTATTTATGTATAAAATGTTGAAACTAGACCATCTAAAGGGAGATATGATGATGAAAGTAAGAACATTGTCGATTACTAAGATCTTTTTCTTATTTCGTTTAATTTTACAACCACTGGCGACAAAGAAAAGTTTGTAATTGTACCGTTATGGTTTGAAAGTTTATAAGTGTGTTTAGGAAAGTGTATCCATTTTTGATCAGAGTAAGTTTTCGAGACCATTTAATGCGGTTCGTCTATACGTATATTTACCTATACACAACGTTGACAAATTATCTTATTTTCTGAGGGTACTTGGACAGTTTAATCTTTACTCTTTGCACTGAACCTTCTTACGGATTTACGGGTAAATTTTAGTGTGGTCTCCTATAAGCTATAAGAGTTTGCATTTTTGACTGTTGAAAGTAGGGTAGCAACGCAATATTTCCAAGCTACGTACATACAGCTTCCGCATAGCCGAGTAGATACAACTATCCGCTATCAAAACGTTGGTAATCATACAGATTTTCTATCTTCAAACACATCCTACTCTATACTACTCCGTTTTGTCCTTCTGCTGCGCGTATTGTTCTACCTAGAGAATCTATGTAGGGTTAAGACTTCTCTATGTGTATATGAATGCTAGCTGTTCTCCTGACACAGCACCTAATATGAAAAATCGTTCGTGCGATGTCCCCCATTCGTGGTTAGGACGCCGACGTTTAGAAAGGGCCGTACCACAAGTCTAGTGGATGTGTGCATAGTTCGTAAGGGCTATGTCTTCACACACTCAGCACTCACTTAGATACGACCAATCTAACCCCTAGACCACTTGAGATTTGAACCCATGTACACTATCCCGGCAGTCCTCGTAGCGTCTGTTATCAAATTACGTTAAGCCTTATCACGATAATGCATTTCCACGATTATACGCGTATGTTAGTTTAGAACCATGTTTACCTGAAAGCGTTTACAAGTTTAATTTCTATTCATTGTTTGTTTAAATCAACGCTT